TTTCTCTGTCTGTCACGAAAATAATTCATTTGTCCTAAAAAATTCAAAAAGCGTTATTAAGCATTATTATGTTAACTGAACAGAACACCTAGTAAACATGTGCAACTTTGTTGTGAAAACGTGGAAAGTTAGTAGTCTCCACTTTCATCCTAGAACCGGAGCATGTTAGTCAGTTGTTTATAAGTATTTTGCCAAAACCCGGTCTTAAGTGGGATCTTTATTGCCTGACGTTTCGACGTTTCCGTCTTTTTCGAAGGCCCTTTATTCCACAGTCCGTTACGACAACGCGGACTACTAACAAACGGTGGAATAAAGGGTCTTCGAATAAGACGGAAACGTAGAAATGTCAGGCAGTAAAGATCCTACCTAAAAGAGGCATTCGTCCAGCCCGTACAGCCCATCTATCCGAGTTTCGGCAAAATAGTTGTAAACGTGGTTAGTTGTTCATTTCGTTTGATCATAGATGGGCTCTACGGGCTGGACGAATGCCTCTTAAGAGAGGCGTTGAGAGGAAGATCAAAACTTCATACTTTTAACGGTGATGCACATATGATGTCTTTTGGAGGTAATTGTACTGTTTTAAAGGGTTGAGTTTGACTTTCCGAGAAAGTGCCAATGCGAGCTTTTCAGATAGATAAAGCAAGCAGAAGATTAATTATCAAGCATCATCATGTTAACTGCAGCAACAGCGTTGTGAAAACGTGGCTGGCTGTTCATTTCGTGTTGCTATAAGCACCCACAGCGGTGAGAACAAGTGGCCTCTGTGGCTTTTTCCTTTGAGGTAGCGCTAAAAGGTAAGATCACACTTTTAACCTTTTCGCAAAACAGTGTGACGGCTTTGCATAAACAAAGAAAGTTTTTGCTTGCTTCTTTGTAGACAATCAGAAGCTTAATTTTAGCACTACAAAATAGTGCGAACATCTTCGAAGGAGAGGCGAAGCACTGGGTCAAATAATTACAATGCATAGGAATGTGATTTGTCTTCTCTTACATCGTATTTTAACTACTTCATTATCCCTAAAATTCAAATATATCGCCTGTCAGCGATGTATCTCGCCGGAATCTCCCTATACGATGGCGGACAAGAATTCTCAAATGCCTTGAAAAAGCATAACACATTTATTAGCAAAGCGTTAGAAGGTAGTAAATGGAACGACAACTATAAATAGCGGAAACAATAAGAGTGTTGCTTAGGTTCATTTGAGCTCTGAGGATCATCTTCTCCTTTCCTTTTTCTTCTACGTGTTTTATATGCTTGGTGCAGTTATTTGAAGAACCCCCAAAAACACTTAGTTCTCTCTGGCGTTATGAAGGCCTCGCCGCTGTGTGATATTTCTTTGAATTACTATAGCGGCGTAATTCACGACACCTGGTAACGGACATTGTGGCAATGAACTTGGTGAGTAGTAATTTAGTCTTAATCTATTCTTGTGTAAGTTTCATAGTTCTAGCACTACTTGATCTTTTCCTTTGCACCATTTGACAGATGTAACGCAATAACCTCATGACAATTTTAATTAACATCAATTGCTTTTACTATTACAAAGGTATTAAATTGAATTTGGAAAGTTAAAAACATTTAGAATAGAAATATAATTTTCAAATGAACGGTCGTTTTTACGACACCTTGAGAGCGGCTTCACTTTGTGAAAGCTTGAACGCCGTTTCTAGCTGCGATGGACGTTGCAATTGTTAGGGCAAGTTGATGAACGAAAGTGATAGGATGACTCAATATTACTCATCTATTGAAAATATTATCTTCTTAACAAGTTAATCAAATCTAGAAAAGAAATCCCCCAATTGTCTGGAAGGGGGCGTAGCCTGGCCTTGCTTCAAGCCAAGCCTCTATTTATTGTATCCCTCGCCTGCTCCAAAAATTTTTTGTCTGCTGAAGTCACGTGATTCCGGGAAAGGAGAACGGCGATCTATCAGTGGTCAAACTTTGTCGCGAAAAACTATGAAAGAAAACATCCTCCTGTAGTATTAACACAACAGATCCTCATTGAGTTTTATTGGGACAAACAGAATTAACTGGAGAACAAACAATTTGCTGTTTTAACGAACACCTTGTAATGACTTAGCAAATCCGATCTGCTCGTTCCCCATATCATGAATGTTACAATATTCTCTGATAAAAGGGTCACCAAGTACCCAAGAGAAAGGAGAGAGAAGGGCGAAGAACTTGAATAATGCAAGAAGGCAAATGTCCTCGCTGATCCTTATGACCATGTTGTCACTGCTGATAGGATAGTCGTGCTTGCCAATCTTTAGCGTGAGAACTGCCTTGGCATTGCAGTCGACATGGTAAAGTGTTTCATTTTCGTTGTACTGTAAGTAAACATATTCCTAAGAGTTAAATCTGCTGCTAATACCGTTTGCAACTACAATAACTCTATAAGAGATATAAGTTTTAATTTGAGATATACCGGAAAGGTGAAAATGTTTTTTCTTAAAGAGGAGGAACTACAGAATTGAGGTTATTAGAATAATTATATTTCGGCACGAAGCTCGCGATATAATCTCTTTTATTCGAGGAAAAATGTTATAAATGTTAAAATAAAAATCAGATATCACGTAAAATCTCTCTTTTCAATGTAATGGTTTTTCCATCATGTATTGAGGTATCGCTTAAGACTTTGTTTTTTTGATGTAGATTGAATAGTTTCTCACCCATTTTACTTACCCTTTGTCAGGGTCACGTGCA